CTTGATGAAGAGATGGCAACATGTAATTCAGAAAAAAAGGCTCACCAGTTACCACATTCCAGGCTCCCCAGGGCAGGCTGGTGAGGGAAGTATTTGGAAATATTGGGGCAAGGTACCCACTTATTCTGACTACACTAGAGACAAGGGTCCCCTGCCTTTCCATGAATGTAGCCTCCTTCCTCTCCACCACAAATGCTGACAAACATAGGTGTGGCCTATGTCCAGGTCCAAGGACTAAGCCAACCCCTGACCCCCAATTTAGGGGACTGTAGGGTGCAGAGGTGGGTGGGGTTTGAAGAACTGTCATAATCTCAAAAGTCCAGGGCTTGCTGGCTTCGGAGTTTTAGACCAGGGTAATGGAGAATGAGTGCACATTAATGGACTTGTTCTAATTCATCATCTGTCAAAATGTGTGATTACAGAATCTCACGGACTTGGGCATTATCTCGACACGTCCAAAACAGAAGTCATGACCTTTCCCCCAAAGCCTACATGTCACCTTTGACTCCTGACTCTTTCTCTTGCCCCCCATATTGACTCTGTTGCCAAGGCATCTCAATCTCACCTCTGAAACATCTATGGTAGACAGCTCCTTCTCTCCAGCTACACAACCTTCACCAGAGCTCTGGCTTAGACCCACCTTTTGCCTGGACTATTGCAATGGCCTTCTACCTGAAGTTCCTGCCTGATCTAATCCATTCTCCACTCAGCTGCATAAGAGATTTTCCTAACATATAGATCTGGCCAGCAAGCCCTGGACTTTGGAGATTATGACAATTCTTCAAAACCTACCTACCTCTGCACCCTACAGTTCCCTAATCATATTAGGCCCCTCCCCCCTTCAAAAATTCTAGCAACTCCTTATTACCTCCAGGATCAAATACAAAACCCTGTTTGGCATTCAAAGCCTTTTCTAATCGGAGCCCTTTCTACATCTCTAGTCTTCTTATACCTTTCTCCCCTTCCTACACTCTGCAGTTCAGCCATACTGGCTTCCTTTCTGTTTCTCACACACAAAATTCCCATTTCCCCTCTCCACACCTTTGCACTGGCTGTCCCCCACACCTGGAATGCTTCCCCTCCTCACCTCGATCTCTTACTTTCTCTGGATGCCTTCAAGACTCAGTTCAACTCCCCCATTCTGCAGAAGGTCTTATCTAGCCCTTCTCTCCCCTTCCCCACCTGCTAGTGCCTTCCTCTGGGGCTGCCTTTAGATCTCATATGTTCATAGTTTCTTGCATGTTGTCCCCATCATTAGAAGGTGAGCTACCTGAGGACAGGGACAGTCTTTACCTTTCTTTGTATCTCCAGGTGGTTTTTAATTGCTGGTGCTAGGGCAGCTCTGTTACTTCCTAGCTGTGTGTCCTGGAGGGAATCACTTAATTACTGGAGGGGTCATTTTCCTTCCCGTTAATGAGAGAACTGGTCTAGATGACCTCAAGGGTCTCTTCTAACTCTAAACGGCCATCCCTCGATAAGGGTCATCATCCATCTACCCTTTGCTTGATGGCATCCAGTGCCGGCAGCTGCCTCCTACCCCTTTGCTTGCCCTGCCCCTCACAAAGCAAACCACTCCATTTTTAGACAGTTCTACATTTTTGCCAAAATTGACTTCACAACTTACATTCAATATTCCTCATTGTGTCCTCTGGAGCCAAGCAGACCGAGTCTAATCATTCTTCCATTTGACAACCTCTAAAGCAGTTGAAGACAGCACTCAGGTCCTCTCCTAAATCTTTGTTTTTTTAATCTGAGGTGAACATCCTCAGTTCTTTCACCAGGCCCTTATGGAATAGTTTCCATTCTCTTCACAAAACATCTTCATTACACACTATTTTGTCATAAAAAAAGAAAACATTTTTAAAACCATCCCCAAAATGGACAATGGAGAAAATAGGGTCAAACTAGCCCCAGAGGAAACTGGGTAAATATTTGCTGAAGAAAATAGCCAATCTGGCTCCACCAGCCTCCAGTGCCCTCCCCTTTGCCCCCAGTTAATTTTAATGACTTTCCTGCCCTTTGACTGACCTTAATTAGTCAACAACTTGGACCTGAAATGACCCCAAGGCCAGAGGACACCATCTGCATACATGCCTTTGTATCTAGCTGTATCAATAATTAAAGCCCTTCTCTTCTTATTAGGATCTTTGCGTGTTGGAAGCTTATTCCCCCTCCCCTAGAGAATCTGAGTTAGCATTCCTAAGTATAATCTTCAAGGACAAAATCCATAATCACCCCCCATAAGGCCCTTGATCCTCACTAGAGAAGATAAACTAAGGTCCCCCTTCTGGCAAGGCAGGCCCAGACAATTTATAGGCAGAATTCCCTGGGAAGACTCATGGCCATATGAATTGAATTACATACTATCACATATACCTATGTAACATTAACTGCCTCTTGCTTGCTTTTCTTCCACCCCTAAAATCAGCTAAGAAAGTCTTTCCCATTTCACCAATTATAATTTCATAGATGTGTCTATGGGCCTTACAGCACCTGAGACCACAGATAAGCCTCTCCATATCCCCCTTTGCAGCCAACCTTGAATAATCTGCAAGACATTCTAATCCCATAGTCTCATGCCCCTCAATCACTTACTGTCTTCAAAGATACCAAACTATAGATATGGAAACACGTGCAATAGATAGCACCTTGCTCCTCACCAGTCAATGTCCCGGAGCTCCCCAAAAGGAGCATCTCTAACACATGTCAGGATGGGATGTACAAAAAGGGAAAACTGGGAAGTCATCTTGGGAGCCGCCATACCACCAGCCCAGTCTGGATGCAGATGTGGAAACATCACACCCCCATCTCCAGCTCTCCTGAGACTTCTGTAGGTTACACAAAATAGCCTTTCGTAATATCCCACTGAGCCATCTCCCCAGCTTGGCACTCACGAGCTACAGGTTGGATCCTTAGGGGGACGTTCCTCTTCTGGTTCAAGGGTGTTCTATAGGTCTGTACTATAATCCACAATCCCCTGCTGCTAGGCTTATGTTTAATAATCAGCCAATAGACAGAATTAGCTTAAAACAAAGTCATTTACTAAGACGGTATCTTTGTAAGAACAGTAGTAACAAAACAGTCACTCCATAAACCTGGGTCATATTTTCTTACAGTGAAACCTATGTCAGTATGAAGAGCGGGCACACACTTAGAACATACTCATAACATGGCACACACATAGAGAACACATGTGCCCAAGGCGCCTCATGCCTCTGATGCCATTTGACTGACAGGGCTAACTCTTCTTCATTGACAGCTGACTCTCTTCTCTGCTGCTAAGGGTCTCACTCCCCAGAAGCACCTCCACTTACTCTCTCCCAACTCTCTTTGTTGAGTGAATTCTCTTCTATGGCGTGAGTTGCTCATGAGCAATGGGCTGGAGGGGGGACCGGATGAGAGTAGATCCCCCTCCCTCTCTGCCTCCAGAGAGATCCCTTCTCCATCTGCCTTCTGGCAGGTTGGATGGAGCAATCCTCTCTCTAGAGCTGGGTTCTTCCTCTATAGCTGGCTCTCCTCTTTCTTGCCAAGGCTCACACTCCACAAAGCTCTCCTGCCTGGACTGTCTCCAGAACTGGTAAATCATCTTTTTAAACACCACCAGGGGCAGGCATGGCCAATGTTTATCTAATCAACAGCAAGCTGCCTTCTAATTCCATTAGGGATTTTGTAAAGGGATAAGAAATCATAGCAACATCTTTGCACTTCATTTAACACATTAATATCTCATTACCTGACCCTTCTGTAATCTCATCAACTGAGCTGGGGAGGACATCAGTTGGTCCGGAATGTCCTGATCAACTCTCTCCTTTACTACACTTACATAAATCTCTTTTGTGCTTGAGTTGTCTACTTTTCCTCTTTTCTGGTGTAGATAGTGAGTTACCATATAATCATTCACTTGGGGAAGGGAAAAAAGCCAAAGAGAAACTTCAGTTAGTCCCTTCATCTACCCTAGGACTGCATGAAAACACAATCAGAAGCAATGGACACTAGAAAAGAAGTCCTGTCAGAGAACCCAGCAAGACCACACAGAATGGAAATCTTCCATATCTCCATGGCACTTTGGAGAACATAGAAACCATTCACCACCCTGATAGGGGTCACCCCATGGAGCATAGAGACTTGAACAGAATTTTAGAAAAGTTAGATATGATATATCTCTGGCAATAACTGAATGGGAACAGAAAAGAGTATACATATTTTTCAGCTGTTCATGGAGCCTTAACAAAAACTGATCATGAACTAGGGCATACAAACCTTATAAATGGAGCAAAGTAGAAATATTAAACCCAACACAATAACAATTGTGTTCAACAAAGGATTCTTGAAGAGAGGATTAAAAATTAATTAGAGACTAAATAGCCTAATACTAAAGAATTTGTAGGTCAAAGAACAAATCACAGAAGCAATAGAAAATTTCATCAAAGAAAATCGCAATAATGAAACAACATACCAAAACTTTCGGGATGTAGCCAAGACATTCCTGAGGGGAAATTTTATACGTCAAAACACATTTATGAACAGAAATGGATAGTTCTATCCCTTTGGGTGACTGAGGTGGAATGAATGTGCAGGTTATAGGAGCTGAAGAATTGGAAGTCAGTCAGGCTATGGGAGGGGACACTGACATGTCTACTGCTATCCCCAAGTAAGGGCAAGGGTTAGGAAGGAAAGGAAGACTGGATATAAAGGCATGAGACGTCTATGGTATTAGGAGAGAGTGGTCAGCAGTGCAGTGTCTTCCAGAGGAAATGTAGCAGCCGTGAGTGCAAGAAGCTGGGAGTTTGAAAGGAAGGGATCTAGGATGACGAGAAGCTTGTTAGTAATAGAACGAATTTCTCAGGACTTAACAGAAGGGGAAGGTAGAATACATAGGGACCCAGGAAAGGCAGGGAAGAGGAAGATGAGAATGAGAGACCCAGAAGGGATTGAAAGGGAAGGAGATTGTTCCAGATCACAGGAATTAAGTGAGAAGGATATGGGAGTTTACTACTCACAGCATGAGGATGGTACTAGTTGACTTGGGCTTTCAGCCTCCAAGGTTCTGTGATGGCAAATGGCTTCAGTCTGCTCTCTCTCAAACACCAGAGAAGATGGGGTTGAGCCAATAGGAAGGTCAGCTCAAACATCTGGGTCAGTGGAATACCTGCTGTTCAGGTCCCTGGGGGCCTGATTCAACTTGCACATGGTACTAGTTCTTTTGCCTCATCCCAAGAGGTCATGCTGCTCATGGACCGTGCATTTGGTTTTTGGTCAGGCCTGATGTCTGAAGTCCCGGTCCTAGCTGAAGTCATGGCAGTGAATCACCTGGTGCCTCAGTGCTCTCCTGTTCTGGAGAACTGAAATGTTCTTGTTTTTCTCAGGTGCCTGTGGAATCAAGGCCAAGGAGGCCATCAAAACTGAGCTCTGAGAGAAGTTAGGATTAGAGACCCACATTCCCAGATCTAGTGATGGAAAAGGAATAATCTGTAAGGCCCTAGGTGACAGAAGTGGCCTTGGCCTAGCTGGGAACAGGACAGGAATGATGGACAGTAAACCTCAGAATGAGGCAGCTTTCTGCCACCTACCCGGCCCCCACTTCCCAGGGAGCCGGGTAATGAAAGGTGAGGCTTTGCAGTTTTCTCAGATGGCTCATGACCTCAACGTGTAGCAGTGGGTATCCAGTCAAGGCTTCCAAGCTTAGGCCCTGAGAGAGAGAGACCAGAGCAGTGACCCACTCCCTTGCGCCCAGTGACAGAGGACACTCTGCTGCTTTATAAACATTTCTTAAGTTTATCTGTGTGTATTCCTTACTCCACACACCTCCCCAACCCCTAGGAAGGGCATATACTAGATATACTTCCTCTCCCCTTAAAGCACCCTGGACAGGGCCAAACCCATAGTAGCTGGCTAACTTGCCTGTACTGTCCCCAGTTTGGAAACTCAGGCTTACAGACCACAGCTGGCAAACTCTGCCCTTGAGAGCTAGAAGCTATGGGCCATTTTCTTTCCCAATCTGCAGTCCACAGAGCCACTGTCTGTTAATTTGTAAGGCACAACACGAGCCCGATAACGTTCAACTTTCTTGACAAACTTAACGAGTCAAACAACAGTTCAAGGTAAAATCAGAAAGGATACCATAAGGAAGTCCCTGTTCAATTGCCAAGTGAATTATTGCATCCAGAGAGACACGAAAGGTCATTAAGGCCAACCCTCTGTCCGATGGGAAGATGAATCTTCCCTTTACAATCTCCCTACAAAGTGGCTACCCAAGTTCTGTTTAAGCATTTCTAATGGCAGGGAACTGACAACCCCCAAAGCCTTCCTAGTCTATCCTTTGGGAGCTCTGGCTGTTCCTTATACGAAGGAGGTTAAGCCGACCTTATAAATGCACTCCTCTCCCCATTTTTCACACGTAGTTTAGCCAAATATATGATCTAGAGAATTTCTGCCTCCCTCTTCTTACCAACACATATTTTCCAGTGGCTTCTTCTAGGTGTGAAACCATTTCTTCCCCCATACTTTGCAATTGCCTATGTCCTCCCCTATCCCATGAGTAACCTCTTGCAACTCCTTATCCGGCCAACCCCAAAAATCATAGAGCAAGTTAGAGGAGCAATCAGAACCAGAAGCTGTGTTTCTCTGAACTTCAATTTCCTTATTTGTATAATGAGAGTTTGGGACTAGTGACCTCTGAGGCTCCTTCCAGCTCTAAATCCGCACTCCTGTGACTCCTAGTCTTTGTGCGGCCTGACTCCCTGGTGCAGGCCCTCATCACTTCCTAACTGGACAATCAAAATAGCCTGCTCCTTGGCATCCTAGCTTCATCTCTCCCTTCTCCAGTCCATCCTTCACTCAGCTGTCAAATAAACCTTCCTTAATGCACAGATCTGACAGTATCATCCGCCACCCCCTACACTCAATCAACTAACTCCAGGATCAAATAGAAAATCCTCTGTTTGGCCTTCAAAGCCTTCCATAACCTGACCCTTCCTACCTTTCTAGGCTTCTTACATCTTGCTCTCCCCTACATACTTTCTGATCCAGTGATGGTGGCCTCCTGGCTGTTCGTCAAACAAGGTACTCATTCCTTTGCACTGATTGTCCCCCATACCTGGAATGTTCTCCCTCAACATTCCCATCTCATAACTTCCTTCAAGGCTCAGCTCAAATCCCATCTTCTGCAAGAGGCCTTTTCTCCTCTCCCCAATTCCGATCCCAACCCTGGTAGTCAACGGTCAATAAACATTAATCAAGTGCCTACTATGTGTCGTGCACTGACACATGAAATATGAAAAAGCAAGACAGTCTCTGCCTTCAAGGAGCTTACAATCATATGGGGAAAGAGGCACAAAAGAAAACTGAAAAGGGGTGTGGGAGGAAAGGATGGTACCCAGCGTGGGAGCACAGTGAAAAGTTAAAGAAATCCAAAATAAGTGCAGCATTTTGGGCAATGAGGAGATTTCCCTTGGAAATTACCTCCCAGCTACACTGCATATATCTTGCATGTGTCTGACATAGAAGTGACAAACATGAGCTTGGACAGACTTGGGGAGATGGTGGAGGATAGAGGATAGAAGGGCCTGGCAAGCTATGGTCCATGGGGTCATGAAGGGCTAGACACAGCAGAACAACCACAATACACAGTTGTTTACATGTTGTTTCCTTCCATCAGAATATGAAATCCTTGGGGGCAGGGGACTGTGTTTCTTATCAGCACAGTGCCTGGCACAAGAGTAAGCCTGACTCACTCTATTCCGTCATGCTCTCTATTTGTTTGGAGCCTCCATTTTGTATGGATCTTCTGAGAGGATTTTACCACCAAAGGCACAGTTTTAAGAGCTAAAAATTATGAAGGTACTACCAAGTATTGATCGGCCCCAGTGGAAAATAAGAGAAGGGGATACATCACTGCATGTTGTAAACTGAACCGCAGAGAATGACAGTAACTTATACAAATACACACAAGCTGTTGGCCGTGATGCCATTAATCCTGGAGGAAGTTGAACCAGTTTACAAAGTTGCTCTGACAAGGCCAGGATGCAGAAAGACAGGGAAGAAATGGGAGATTACATACAGACAGCCATCAGCAATAACAGCTTAAGGAGTTAGTGGATTCTCTCTCCTATCAAAGTTATCTACAAACCATCCCACTTCTTCAAGGAACATGACCTGCAAACTAATCGACCTCCTCATTCCTCCAATGGACACCCACTACTCATCCCGACTTTTTCCTTTCTCCTATAGAAATGATCTGTAAACCACCCCCACTCCAATTCTCCTTGTAGATCTCAGGAAAATAAAGTTGCTCTGCTTCGCCAGTCACCATAGGGTTAAAGGGGTTACCGAGGCATGCTTCCTATCTGCTTTTTTTCCCACAATGCTCCTGCCGGCTGAGATGGCTGGGCAAGATTGCTTTGGTCATCTTTTCCCCTCACTCCCCCTACTCTAAGAATAGAATGGCTATCGAACTGGACTGCCCCAGCTCTCAGGAAGTGGGCTCCCTGTGCCATGGCCAATCGATCTGTTTATAATGTACTTATTATCATGAATAGCCTCCTGGCACAGACCAAGATGAGAGCCACCCTGAGTTCAGCATCTCTGTCCATCATCTCTCCTCCTGAGGCACCTGAAGGTGTGGGGATTTCAAATGATTTTAAAGTAATTCAATTTAGCCCAAAAACATTTACTAAATACCTACGATGTGCCATGCCCTGTGCTAGGTGACAGGGATAGAGACAAAAAAAAAACTCCTGAAGGAGCCAGGAGAAACAAAGCACACAGATAAGTAAACATGTACACACTGACACAGAAAACAGAAAATGATGCAAAGTCGCTTCAGTGGGGGAGTAACATTAGTAACAAGGACTAGGGGATCAGGAAAGGTCCCCAAATACAAAGCAGCACTGGAGCCATGACTTGAGGGAAGCCAAGGATTCCAAGAGGTGGAGACGGGGAGGCAGCACATTTCAGGCCTCAGGGACCACCTGTACAAAAGCAGAGTGAAAGGGGAAACAGCTAGTAGGCCAATCTGGCTGAAATATAGAGTGCATCAATGTGGGAGAAGGCTTGAAAGGTTGATGGGAGTCAGATTAAAAAGGGTTTGCACGTCTTGGCTGACAGCTTAGTTCAAGTCAACAAATTCTGCCAAGAATTCCAGGTATGGGAATGGTGAGAGCAAAGGTATGGAGGTGGAAGAGATCAGGAGGAGAAATGGGGCTGGAGAGAAGGCCACTTGGTTTGGAGTATTATGTGATCAGGCTAGACAGGTAGGTTGGAGCCAGGTTCCAGAGGGCCTTGAATGCCAGTCAGGAGTTTTTCTTTTACTTGGTAAGCAGTTGGAAGTCACTGAAGGTTTGTGAATGAAGAAGTGAGATGATCAGAGCCATGCACTTGGAAGATTATTCAGAATGTAGAGGCTGGATTGGAGAGGGGATTAGTCTGGAAATGGAGAGACCAGTAACATCACTATCATTTCCTTAATGTGGACAATAAGACAACATCCTCTCTACCTGCAACCTAGTTCTCTTCTCAGTTCCAGACTTTTGGATTTCAGACATCACTATGACATTCTAGCTGTCCTCTAGAAAAGAATAAAAAATCAGTCAATCAACAAGCATTTATTAAGCACCCAGTATGTACCAGCCACCACACTAAAAAGAAAGGTAAAACCAGCAAAAAGTCTCAGCTCTCAAGGACCTCACATTCTAATGGGAGAAATGACATGTCAGTAACAAGGTACATACACAATATATTGTAAATGGAAGGAAATCTCCAGGGTAATGCAGGTGGAAGAACTGGGAAAGGCCTCCTGTAGAAGTTGAGATTTGAGCAGTCTCTGAAGGAAGCCAGAGAAACAAACAGGTAAAGAAGGAGAGTCTTCTGTGGGGGGGTGGGGGAAGGGGGGGAAACCAGTACCAAAAACAGTGGGGAGATGAAATGTCATGTTGGAAAGAACAGTCATCGGGGCAGCTAGGTGGCGCAGTGGATAGAGCTCTGGCCTTCGAGTCAGGAGGATGTGAGTTCAAATCCAGTCTCAGACACATGTCACTTACTAGCTGTGTGACCCTGGGCAAGTCACTTAACCCCGATTGCCTCACCAAAAAGCAAAAAAAAAGAAAAGAAAAGAACAGTCATTGTAACTAGATTGTAGAGTGAGTGGAGGAAAGTAAGGTGTAAAAAGACTGGAAAGGTAGGAAGGGGCCCTATTCTAAAGTGCTCTAAATGCCAAAGAGTGGGCTTTTTATTTGATCCTGGAAATAACAGCTGTTGGAGTTTTTTGGGGGAGGGGAACATGGTCAGATCTGTGCTTTAGGAATCACTTTTGCAGCTGAGTGGAGAATGGATTGGAGAAGGGAGAGACTTGAGGCAGGAAGACTAATTAGAAGGATAAGTCCAAGGGAGAGGTGATGGAGAGCCCCAACTATGGTGGGGCCTCTATGAGTGAGGAAGAAGAGACATACACTTCAGATATTAGGGAGGTAGAAATGACAAGATTTGGTAACTTATTTGGAGATGTGGGGTGATAGTGAGGAGTTAAGGAGTTGGAAACTTTCTTGATTTACAACCATCTGGGAGAGTTTCCATGCATACCTGAGTGGAAGCTGGAGGATTACCTCTGTACCTAGAGGATTCTCTTGAAAGACAAGTGAGGATGATAGCTTCCATTATAAAGCACTCTACATACATCATATTAGCTCATTTGATCCTTACAACAACCCGATATGGTAGGTGCTATAGCTATCCTCATTTTAGAGACACTTCAACTGAGGCTCAGTGGTTAAGTGGCTTCCCCGTGGCCACACAGATTCTGAAGCAGGATTGGAATCTAGGTCTTCCTGAATTCCTTCTAGGTTCAAGCCTCTATGCACTCTGTCCCATTCTTCTCAATGGAAGTGAGTGCACCGTTTCAGATTGTTTTGTTTACCTCTGTTTGGTTTCTAACCTTGGTTTCTATACTAGAGCTGAGGGTGGGGGAGGAAACCACTGGTAGGTGTGTCTGGGTATCTTTGCTGTCTTCTGCCTCTCCTTCTCTAACTCTAACCCTAACCCTTGAGCAGAGGGGGAATAGTTTCAAGCAGTCTGCAAGGAAACAAGCAAGAAGAGAATCTGAGTGTGAACTAGATTTGGGAATTAGAAGACCTTGGGAAAGTGGGTAGCTGTGAAGTGAGGGTCCCCTGAACCAAAGATATCTTCCAATCAGGCCCTGTGCCTGGAAAACATGCCTTTAGTAAAACTAACACCCTCTAATAAACATCTTAGCACTAAGAAGTTTATCAGATTGGCTAATTGAGGCTAACAGAGCAGTGTAGGGGCAATAGGTCAAAGTATGCCTGTGATCGGATGAGGGAAGACAGTAGTGAAGACCCTAGGACACTGGGCATCTCAGAGTATGTGCCGAGGTCAAGAGGTCAGGTCACTGAAGTCACCGAAGGAGAGATGGGAGTGTAGCAAAGGCACAGTTTCCTTTCCGAACTTTCTCTAAGTAGGCTGGGCTGGCCAGGCAGGGCTTTCCCGATATGACAAGTGCCCAGGCCGGAGGTGCACTTAGGGATCCTGAAATGGGGTGGGATCCCACTGAAGAGAGGGTGATCCCAGACCCTGGACTCCATCACTAACGATTCTCCTGATCTTTGATTCATTTCCCTTCAGACTTTTGATAAGGATCCCAGAGATGGTTAGGGGAGTTTTCTCTGGATCCTTGACAACCTTGGGCAGGGGCTGGTATCCCATTCTTCAGGACGGTGGAGAGGGCAACAGGGTACAGAGAGGAGGAAGGGAGACAATGGGGCGGAACCCCCGCCCTGGGGTGAGGGAAAGAGAATTGACTGCAGCATCCGAGGCTCCGGGCCCCGGGTATAGCAGCGGCTGTGCCCCAGGAAGGTACCAGAGGGCACACCACAGCATGGCACCGCACGACACTTTCTATTCCATTCCATGCCTGCGGCCCCAGCCCAGCCCAGCCCACGAACCCAGTCCGGGGCTCCTGGCGGCCTGTCCCCTGCTTCCCCAAACTGCTGGCCACTACTCAGTCCGCCCCCGCCTGGCTCGGTCTGGTCCGGCCCTGGGGCAGAGGGGAGGGGCCCGCGCTGAGCCCTCTCCCCCGCCGACCGTGCCCCCCAGCGTCGTGCCCACCTCTGCCACGGCCGCCGGGCGTCGTTTCCCCGGCCCCTGGCCCCAGCCCCCGGTCCAGCTCGGCCCCCGGCGGCTCCGGGCTGGGGCTCGGGCTCGGCGCAAACAAAGCCCTGATTGACTTCCCAAAGGGGCGGGGCCCAGCGCTGCGGGGCCGCCTCCTCCCGGCCCCCGGATTTGCAGGCCTCGGGCGCTCTGGGGGGCAAGAAGGGTGGGGGCTTCGCCTTTAGGGCCAGGAGGGGCTACCCTGCACCCACCCCAGCGCGATCCCCGGGCGAGGGGGCCCCTTCGGGGCCCACCTCCCGGGGAGCCAGGCCAGGGCGGGGCAGCCCTGGGAACAAGTTGGTAGTGGGGTGCCCCTCGAGGGCAGGGGTGGGGTCCGACGCCCAACCATCTCTTTTCCATTAGAGGTGAGCGAAATGCACCCCTTGTCCTGGGCTGGTGCTTGGGTGGCGGGTGGAAGGGGCCTTGTCATAAGTCCGAGCGGAGGAGAGCACAGTCGCCACCCTCCCTCACCCCCGCCCTCCGCCCGCAGGGGATTCGGGCCCTCAACCCACCGGGAGGGCTGGGGACCCGGGGCCCGTCTGACCTCCCTCTTTCCTCTCTGACCTCACCTCCCGCCCTAGCCAGCCTCTGGAGACCAAGGGCGGCTAAGTTTGGCTATAGAGGGGAGGGGGCGGGCCCGAGGTACGGGGGGGGTGTATGGGGGGAGGAGGAAGAGGAGGAGGAGGAGAAGCGGTGAGAAGGCTGTAGCTGCTGCAGACAGTGGGAGGAAAGGGGGGGAGGAGGAGGAGGAGAAAGGGATGACAGGGGGAGAGGGAGAGGAGGGGGGAGGAGGAGGGGTGGAGGAGGAGGAGGAGAGGAGGGTATGAGGGACCGTCTGTCGCGGGACGGTCTGGGCAGCTAGGGCGCTGGGCCGGGAGGAGGCGGCAGCAGCAATAACAGCCGGAACAACAACAACAGCCGCGCCGCGCGGAGCCGCGCTGCGCCGAGAGCCGCGCCGAGCCCAGCCCAGCCCAGCCCAGCCGTGCCGCGCCGCGCCGCGCCGTGCAGCCACCGGCTCCCCGCGCCCGCGCCCGCGATCGCGATGGCCCTGCAGAGCCCCGAGTCTGGAGAAGAGAAGGGGCCCTGGGAGGCGGAGGAGAAGGAGCCGGTGAGCAGCCCCGAGCCCGAGCTCACAGTGAGCACCCGCGGCCCCGGCTCCGGCCCCGGCCCGGGCTTCCAGCCCCCCGAGGGGGGCTACGGCTGGCTCGTGGTGTTCGCCGCCACCTGGTGCAACGGCTCCATCTTCGGCATCCAGAACTCCTTCGGGATCATCTACACACTGCTGCTGGAGGAAGAGAAAGGGGAGAAAAGCCAGCAAGAGTTTAAGGCAGGTGAGTGTCCCCCACTCCCCACGCCCCGCAGCCCCACTGTCTCCACAACCCCAGCGGCACTCACCTGGCTGGCTTTTCTCTGCACTCTATTCGCCTTCGGGAGAGGGGCTGGCGTTTGCGTCTGTGCACCCGGGGGGCAAGCTCCCGACCCACCTGCGCGCCCTGCAGCCCCGCCTGCGGCTGACACTGGGGACCCCATCGCCTAGCTCTCCCCAGACTCCCAACAGCCGGCCTGTGGCTCGGGCCATCCTGGCTGTCAGGCAAGGTCCCCAGGGCAGGCAGAGCTCGGAGCAGCCGCCCCATTGGAAGCAATGAACTTTTTTTTCCTCGCAGACATTTCCATCCTCACCTCCCGGGGTTTGTTTAAAATACTTCGTGCGTGCGCGTGTGCTGGGGTTGGGGGCGGGGGGAGGGACAGTATTTACATTTATTAGTTGTCCCAAGTCGAGACGAGGAGGAGGGAGGTAAGCACTGACCAGGTCCCTGAGCTCTCCAAAGAGCGGAATCCGCTTCTGTGGGCACGAATGGCTCGGCACGGGCCGGTTGCACTTAGAAATGCTTTAGAAATTTTGGCAGATCGGCGCGCAAACAGGCACATGGCAGGCGTGCGTGTGTACGAGTGTGTATGTGTGTATATACGCGTGGGGGGGGGGTGTATGTGCGTGTGTGTATGCCGCGTGCCCCTATCTTTTTCTGCCCTGGTTATAACTTGCCTTGCCAGGGTCGCACGCTGCCCGCCGCCGTCCAGTTCAAGCAAAGCGTGCTATACACCCCCGCCCCCGCCCCCCGTTACTGGTGGGGGGACCCCCGGCAGCTGCTTGCCTCCCACCACATTCCTAGCCCTGCACTAGAGGCTGGGGGCTTCGGGCTGAGAAAGTATGTGTGGGAACCCAGGTCAGACCCAGGACCTGTTTGAGGCATCAGGGAGAAGCCCTTGGGTCTTGATCTTCTCGATAGATGTGGGATCCGGGGGAGGGGGGAAGGTCCCCTTTCCCTTCCTGTCACCAGACCCGGGAGATTCGAGCTTGCACACGCACACACACAAACCACAGAGCCACAGTCACTGGAGCGCCTGCCCGTTCCTTTGCTGTTAAACCCACACGTGGGCTCGGAGGGTTCAAGAAAACAAAAGTGGCCTAAACCTCCTGCCCGCCACATCGCAGAAAAGTTTGTGTCCCAGTGTAGGGACTGAAGGCTCTGAGAAGTACCCTCTGGCCAGGGCGCCTAGGGTGCCCAGCCCAGCCGAACCCAACGCCACCACCCCTGGCCGAAAGAGGACCCTAGAGTTGACCTTGGCCTGCTCGTTGCTGGGCTTGGCCAGGAGCCATAGGCCGTCCTCCCTCCTACCCCCAGAGAAGCCTTGAGGCTGGGGATTGGGGTGAGGGTGGGGGACGGGGAAGAGAGGAACTTCCGAGGCCTGGAGGCAACCTTTCTCCCAATGGGGTGAACAGATGGGGTCCCTCTGTGCCCTGCAACTGGCGATCACTGGGGCATTGTGCCCAAACGGCGTGCTCGTTCATTGCCCTCAGGCTGGGGAAATCGGGGCAGAAGCCTCTTCCTGGGTGATCTATTTCAGTCTCCCTCCCCCAAGCAGCACCAATTCTGGGGCCTGCTCCAGGGCCCGGGGCTGTGCTAACTGGTAGTAGCAGGGGCATCGAACTTGGAGCCTGGTGGGCTCTGTGGCCAGAACTCCCGGCGACTTCAAAGGTTCCCTATGGCCCAGCCGGAGCCTCGAGGGGAAAGCTTTGGGGGGTCTCCTTAGCTCATGGCCTGTGGGGTTCTGTGGAAAGCAACAGTAGTGCCTGAAGACAGGTTTGGCTGTCTGCTCTGACACTTCCATCTGTGGGACCTTAGCAGGACACCTTGTACTGCGGTCTTTTGGTGGTGTTTTCCACCCTCTGGGGCTACCTAGCTACTCCCTTAGCTAAGCTTTGTATGCTCCTCCTCCTCCCCACCTCCAGCATCGAGCATAGTGCTTTTGCAGTCTTGTTTTGTTTTGGTTTTTTGGCTAAATAAATGTTTTTGGTTTCCTTCATGGAGCCTCAGTTTCCTCATCTGTCAAATGGGGATAGAAATGACTGCACTGACTACTTTTCAGAGTTGGTATGAGGGAAGAAGTCCTTTAAAGTGCTGAAGAAGTGTGAGCTATCTGTAGCTGGTGCTTGAGGAACTGTCCTGGGCTCAGGACTTCCAACGTCTTGGTAGCTTGGGGAGGGGGGGAGCCAACCTTAGCACAGCTACTGACGGCAGATAGACAGCAGAAGCTCCCTTCCTTGCTATTCCTATGGGGCTGTGCTCAGGGGGAAGATAAGGATTGAGGGTGGGGAGGAGAAGGGAGAAGCTGCCCTGCAGGTCAGAGGGGGCCACCCAGTTCTCAGCTCAAAGCCTGTCAGAGTAGCTTGAGGTCATTACAGTCACAATGAAATAGATTCCTCAGTAAGAAGTGGCTCTTCAGAAAGGGCAGAATTGGCCCATCTCTGCCATTCCTGAACACCTAGGGGGTTAGTCCCTCCGTGACCTCTCCCCAGCCCCCTAAACAAAACCAATGACATCTTTCTAGCTCTCCACTTAGGCTACCCTGGAAATTCCAAATTGTCTGTGTCCGGATTTACGCAGCCTTCATACAGTCCCTGAATGTTAGTGCATCAAGGGACCTTGGAACAGAGAATGTTCGAGCTGGGCCGGGCTTAGAATTCAAAGTATTTGGAGCCCAAGAGATCTAGACCATTAGACATCAAGGTGGAAGGGACTTCTGAGACCATCTAGACCAGGGGTTCTTACCCTGGGGCCCAGGGACCCCCAAAGGGTCCGGTCGATAGATTTTGGGGGTGATTTATGACCTTAGATGGGAAAACAATGACATCTTTAATTTTTGCTCATCTGTAGCTGAAACTGTGTTTCCTTCAGTGCTTTAAAAGCATAATTCTGAAAAGGTTTCACTGGAGTGCCCAAAAGGGTCCATGACACAAGGAAAGTTAAGAGCCTCTGTATTCTAATCCAGCCTCTTAAAGGGTAGAGAACTGAGGCCCAGAGAGGGATTGACTTGCCTGAGGTCAAAGACCTACTAAGTGACACATTCAAACCTAGGACTCCTTCACTGTAATGGCTTTTGAATTTCTCACCTACTCAATGGGAAGGGGAAAGGAGAGATTTTGGAATCAAAAATAAAATTGAATTAAAAAAAACCCAGCAACCAAGTCTTCTGCTTCCAGCCAAATGAAGCAAGTTTTCTACCACACTCCCCCTCCCTACTCATTTTCCTCCAGCCACCAACATTCTAGTTCTGAGGGCTACCGGTGGCCGAGGGGATTTTGATATCATCATCTTTCTTGGGGACCTGCAATGATCAGACCACCCACTCTGTGTTCAGTCCTATAACAGAAGAGTAGATACAAAGACCCCTCAGGCATGCAGGGGAGAACCTGGCCCGTTGCCCATATTTCTTCACATCTCTGAGAGTCCTTGCAGATTGAAAATTCTGTGATTCTAATTTCACCTGGTTTGGGGAGGCTGTGTCCCATGATGGAAAGGGAGCTAATTTGGAGTCAGGAAAGAACTAGGTTGGAATTCCCACTCTGGCATTTGTCAGCTTCATGAGCCCGGACAAGACCCTTTATTTCGGTTCTCTCAAACATCAAATGGCATCCTGGGACCTGGGGTTAATAATAGAACTTGTCCTGCCGATGTCGCTTGCTTGGGAGGGAAGAGCTTTATCAACATTATTGTGAGTTTCTAGAATTATTATTGCCTTACAATTTCATTTCACTTCGCTTCACTTCCTCAGGGCTGTAGGCCTGTGCTCATTTGCCCAGCTGAAATTTGCCTAGATAACCTTGAGGTGAGATGCACCGCCTCTGTGGCCCCTGGGTGTGCCCTCTCCACTGAGTGTGGGGGGGAGCAGGCAGAGGCCTGGCCCTGAGCCCATTCTGGAGAGGGGGCAATAGTAAAGATTCACGGAACCAGACCCAAGAGTACAGGCAGTCCAGTGGTTAGGAGGCCAGCTCCCATGTCTGCAGGGCCTCTGTGTGTAGAAGACAGCTGGGGGGGATGGGGAGAGGAAGACTGGGCACCCCCCCAAGTGGCAACATGAAACCCTTGGAAACCATTGCACTATGGAGAACTATTGCTGAGCTCCCCGCCCCCTCTTCAGGTGGCCCCTGGGAGAAAGAACATGCTTCTCCCCCGCCCCCCCCCTCCCAGGCAGTCTCAATGGAATGGAGGTGGAGAATGGTTAGGTGCTTATGTCCCCAAGGCAAACAGCCAAGTGCTAGGCTTGGGGGAAAATAGCAGTGAAAACACTACACTGCTCCTAGAGGTTTGAGGTCTTGCTGCCTGTGTGACCTTGGGAAAGTCACTTCCCTTCTGTACCTCAGTTTCCTCCTCTAAAAAATGAGGGGATGGGACTGCTATCCTTTCTGTCTCTAAATGCTATGATCTTTAGTCCAAGCTAAGCTGGTCAAGACTATGTTCAGAGAATCCAGATCTAGAAAGGACCTTAGGAAGGAGGACAGGACTCCTGCCGAAGGAAAGTCCTTCTATCAACACAGATTGGCACCCTCTCTGTAACATATGGTCTTAGAGAATTGCTTGAGGCACTGAGAAATTAAGGGTCTTGAAGCCAGCTCTCTGTACCAGACTGCCTCAGAATGAACCTTAGTGATCAGATTCTCCACCACCTCCCCTAATTTTACAGAGGAGGAAAATGAGGGAGGCCCAGAGAATGAAGGGGACTTGGCCAAGGTCACACAGAGAGTAGGAAGCAGAGGCAGAAGCCAGCACTTCACACCACACTGAGTTGCCTTTCTGTACCCTGACAGCTTTAAAGCTAATCTCCTATATAAATTTGGGAATCCAAATGGGTGAGTGTCTGTACATTGGAGCCAACAGCAGCTGGGACCCCACAGTGCTCCTTGGATGAGGCCCAAGTTAACTTGTTAAATAGGTAAGCCCAACTCGGGCTCCTGGTGGGCTGGAGGAGGCAGCCCTGGAAGGCCAGGACC